GAGCTATTCTTAAACCCGAATGTTTCACAGAAGAGATTCAGGATATGATTCAGAACCATCACCTGGTCACAGAAAGGTTGAATTAATTTGGCTATTATCTCTACGATTGGTAAAATTAAATAAGGTTAGTTGAATTTAAACGTTTCATGAATTATTCCGAGAAAAACATAACCTATAATTTATCTTTTGTATCTTGTTTTATTTTTATTATTTTAGCTAAATTAGTTCTTAGTTTAATTTTTTAGTTAATAATCATCATCTAAATTCGTTAGTCTAAATAATATTTAATCATCATTATTTTAGTACTCTATGTTGAATACGACATTGCTCGCCACTATTTATAGCTACGTCGTACGCTTGCAGATATAAAAAATAATTAGCGAACAGAGAACAAGGTTGAGAGTAGAGGGGATGCAAGTACAAATTAACGGAGGCTACCGATCCAGGAGAGCCCGTCTATTTTGTGACAAGCCCAATAGTGAATTTTTATTTTTTGGGCTTTTTTGTTGTTTTGTTGAGCTAATTCAATAGGCTAACTAGAAAATTATATAGGGTTACATACAATAATAATCGCAAACGACAATTATTTTTTTATCTTTTTACTTGGGGCTGGAGTCCACCCTAGTCCATGGGTGACTCTACCCCTGTTTCGAATTCTACAATCATCGTTTAACGTGTCCATTTATAGTTAACTTTAATAATTTATTTCCCACTCATTGAAAATCAACTTTTAAAAATAAATATACCACGAGTATCTACTCGTAACGTAAAATTTTTCTATACAATTTTATTCAACCAAAATTAAATATTTAACCTTAAAAAAGTCAGTCAAAATTGAGTCAAACCTAATTTTTGTAACTTATTTTTTCAACAAAAACAAATTGGAATAACTGATACTCGGTCAGGAACATTGAATTGTAAGCCTATGGAATAAAGTACATTAGACTTGAATTTAACGAATTTAACGTTTGAAAATATACAATTCAGTCCTTCCTTTTTTTTTTATATTATTATATAAGTGTTCTAGAAACAGCTTTTACTTTGCGGCCTAGTCCCTGGGAACCAACATACAGTGGATGGAAATTTTTGGAATAACATATATTAAATGCGTGCACTATTTATAAATATTTCTGCAACATGTATTATACCTATTTTCTATTTAACAACCCATAATATATATATATTTTTTTTATATGTAAAATGCAACCCCAATATTATAAATATTCATAATTTACAACCTCTAGTTTTTCGATCACACGTGCAATGTATTTTTGTGAATGATTGCATGGTCAAAATATACAAGAAAAACTGTAACTGTGAATGTACATAAAATTTAAGTAGCATTTTATTAAACACAATTACTGAAAAAAATAGTAAAATACAATATGTTGTAAAGTACAAGAACACATACAATACAAATTGAAAAAAAAAAAAAAACTATTAATTATCTATAATAGTTAGTTGGAAAAATGGAATACCATATTATTGGACAATTCTACGATTTCGTTATAGAACCATTCCATCAGGGTTTATAACCGTTACATCAACTATCCACAACAATTACATAATAACGTTAGATTCAAATTATGACGAAATAGTTCCGCAATATCAAAGTCGGCCAAACATAGAGCCGTAGTAGTCCTTATTGGAAACTTCCAATAAAATTTCCATGACTTGCTTTCAAGCTTCAACTACCACTCCGTCCACATTCAAATCCTTTCAGATTTTTATTTCCCATCACTTTTTCCTCTCTTCAATTCAAAATACACAACACTTACAAATTAACGCTTCAATCAAAACAGAGCAATTAATTCCATGGGTTAATAAATAGGAGGCAAAAATGCCAATGGATCGATCGCCACATACCCCGCCCCAGATCGACGGTCCAGGCGTCCTCTCGATCGAATGCCTGACCGGAAGCTCGAAAGCCGACGAGTGGACCGGCGACATGCTGCAGACCGGCGACATAGTCGAGGAATTGAAGATCGGCGGCTCTGTCGTTAGGGCGCCGTTTAAGAACGGGAAATCGGGGGTACAGAGGACCCTCCACAGCAGCTTCAAGCAGAAGAAGACGTCGATCCGGGTCCGGGTCAGGCGGGGCTCCGGCGATCTCGCCGAGCTGCTGGCGTGCATCGTGCCCGGGGACCAGCTGGTGGGGAAAAAGCAGTACGTCCTGCGGGCGATTGATGACCCGAATTACGCCGTCGGGTTTGTTGATAGGACCGAGAGCGAGTGCTTGAATTTGCAGTGTAAGTCGCCGGTCGCGTTTTCCGGGTTGTTTTAGTTTCTGGTTTTTATCCCAATTTTTTACTGCAGTAGTTATTAGGTAGTTTTACGGTGAATTATTATATAGTTTTAAGAGGGAATTGCAAATTTGAAACCTATTGCAAAATTTGTCGAATGGGTTGCAAAATTAGATATTATATGCAATTCAACTTGTTTTTACAGTGGCATGGTGTGGTATGTGCATTCACATAGATATATTTTACGTCACTTTCTTTTTTTTTTTTTTTTT